AGGAAAAAACTTGTGGATTGAATAAGTCAAAAAGTCTTGCGATGTTTCTTACCTTTACGCAGGATTTTTTCCATGCTGACCCTACATGAACTATGCAGGGTTCTGTCAGGGCTGTCAGTATAAAAATCCTGCGTAAAGGTAAGAAACATCGCCAGATATTTTAATACCGATAATCCACGGGATCCTGCATGAATTCTGATTATTTTTTTCAGTGGATAGCAAACATCCTGGATAAGAATGGATAAGAAAAGATAGATTTTATATATTTTCTCTCTTATACAAACATCGCAGAGGAGCGCTTTACATTATTCTACGAATGATCCGAATGATTCGAATGATCCGAATGATCCGAATGATCCGAATGATCCGATTGATTCGTTTATAGTTTTGACGGCTTCCCTAACAGGAATTTTATACATTTCTTACAAAAAAAAAATACGGTAAGATTTTGTGGAATTCCTAGTATTTCGTTCTGTATTTATTCTTTTCTTTGTCTATACGAGTAGACCTGTGCGCTGTGCTGCTGCCGTCGCAGATAGATAACTAGATTTTTTAGCAAGGCCATCGCCAACGGCATCGAAAGTTTGGGGGCTCCGCGCCGCTCACGGTGCTAAAAATACAAAAGTTTTGCAATGAAAAAGTCATGAACAATTAGAAAAACAGGAAGTTATGTTGTAATTATTCCCACCGTTGACGATGGAAAAATTCCAAAAAAACATTTTTAGCCGCTACTGAAGCCAGAAAGTCTTTTAAGGTGGCTACGCTGCTACCATCGATTGGAAAAAGCTTGTTTCACGCCGCCGCCGATCTTCCGATCGGCGCACAGGTCTATATACAAGAACACAATTGCTGATGTATTTTGCAGTAACTCAAATATAAATATAAATACACTCTACGGTAGAAATTGAAACATTCTTTTAGGCACAAATTTTCGCACCGAACATTGCGAGTCATCGAAACTAGCTGCTGTTTGACGACGTGCGCGTCGGTACTCACAAGTCTTGGGCTTATGCCAACTCAGAATCATCTGATTCTGGCTAGCTGGGTTCAGGGATAATTAAACAAAATAAACGTAATAAACTTAGTAGAATAAGTCAGCAGAAGAGCAGATAAAATCCTACTGCAATCGTACAATAGGATCCTGTAGGATCTTGCAAGGTTGCAAGGCACAGATGTGACTACAGGATCCTATAGAAGTCGTACGGTAGGATTTGTTGGCTTTGCGATTACCCAACAAGAGTTTCGTAGGATCTTACAGGATCCTAAACTAGGAAACTAGAATCCTATGGTAGGATTGTTTCACCTACGGAGAAAACCCAAAAACGTTTAGATCTGTGTTTTGAGCATACTTTCCGAATATCTTTGCTGTTTCTACGCAATCGCCAGGATAAATCAGGATGTACCGAGCGAAAACTTTCCTATTTCGCAAAGCTGTTAGTAACCACATTAGTTTAGACCTACAAATGCCCACTGGCCAGAGGTTTTGTTCTGTAGATCAACAACAGTAGTTTTCAGCATACTCTGTATTCAGGTCTAATTAATTCATTTCGATGTTTAATATTTGCCCATTTACCAACGCCAATTGCATTAATATGTTTTTGTTCATTTTTATCGACGTCTCGTAAATTTTTTAATTTATTTTTATAAACAACTTCTCCAACAAGTCTAGGCACGACCTCATCTTTATATCCATTTGTCATTATCCAGGCATCTAAAGTCAATATTATGCGCTAGACAAATAAAGTAGTTTTCTTTTCAAGAGATATTACCTGATGCTAAAGCTGCATCAGTAATGCCTTCAATGAATTCCTTTTGAAATTGTACTTTCAAAGTGGAGCGAAATCCACCACTGATTGACATAATTAATTGAGGTTTATTCATCTTCCATAAATCAAGCATAATTAAAGCTAATGTATCTGGATGTGTTTCAATATCACATCGAATATACTAAAATGAGGTATAGCAGTTTGATTGTCATCAGGAAAAAAACGTCTTCATCTTACTGGTGCATTGGAACTCTCTAGTAAGCCATAAGCATTTGTCTCGATTGTTTCTGTATGAGCTTTAAAAGCCGATTCTGTTTCTTCAATCTTTTTAACATTTCGTGAAGTTTGTGGTGCACTCCCACTTGCGAACTGTTGAAGTTCTCTTAGAAGCATTGTTATTATATTATCTTCTTCATGTTCTTCTTTCCAACGATTACAAATACACAAATCAGGAAGTAAACTATGAATGTAGAAAGACAACAACAATAAAGACTTCTAGAACAAGAGATTTCTTACCTGTCTTCATCTTGTGTAAATTGATTACATGTACGAGCTTCAATATTAAGTCGTTCAATCCAGTCAGACGAATCCCATGCTTTTTTCGCTGACTACAAATAACAAAAAAAGTAGTTAACATACGATCCCATATACATTCTCTACATTCATACTCACCATGTCTATAGTTGTATCGGTCGACAATTGTCTGTGCATCTACAATAATCCAATGCAACCGTCATTCTTAGAAAATGAACCTCTTCGTCAAAGCGCCACCACTTCACGGAATTCTTTTTTCGTTTTGTCAACATACGATATTTTGTGTTTTATGTCATTCCTTGCAGTTTTGGGTGAAATTCGCGTTCGCGACGAACTGAATCATTCTTTACTATTTCGGTATGCAACATGTCTTCATACTGGCTATAGGCTTATGACAAGCCTATAGCCAGTATTATAACCAGAAAAGATAAACATTAGTAATGTTTATCTTTTCTCTCACTAATTCAGGTCACGATATAAAATACGTAAACAAAAATCTCATGAACTGTTAGTATCTGACTGTTTGAATAGATGTCAATAAAAATCATAAGAAAACTCTATGGTGACCTGAACTAGTCAGAACATAAGAAAGAATTCGCAAGCACAGCATATACACTGATACGCATTATTATCATCCATCATAGCGAAATGAATTCCCAGCGGATACGAATTCATTTTTTAGAAAATCAAATTCTCGGCGAATATGTATTTTTCAAGCTATGAGTTTTTCTGCCTTCCAGAACATCGATGGAGGGCAAGACTTAAAGCTCTGTGATTGTCTCTTTTCACCATGTCCACATGTAGGGAGCTTAGCATAACAGGTTCCACTATCTGAATACAAAACACTTTAAGATACTTAACGAAACGTTCACAATTCAACGAAAGAATTCAGTTCACTCGGGTGACCTACTACCATGTACGCCATCAGTATTTTTAAAGAAAGGTCGTCATTTTGCTGAGGTGTCTCAGATCTTGCACTCAAAGAAGACCAATGGACAGTGCTGAGTATTCTTTCTCGACCTGCCTACATTATGAAAAGCAATAGGCTAAAACTGACGGCTCTCGACAGGGGTATGTATTCTTCGTCTGATTTTCTTCTAAGAATGATGTGGTATGTCCAAGATACGAGAAAACAGACAGAGATATCAATACAGTAGCAGACTACGGAAACTAATTTTTTTTGTAATTCAATAATATAGATACTTCCTTCAAAGTTTTAGCAAAACTAAAAGTAAATGTGGTCATATCAAAAAGTTCTCATATGTTGTATATCAACAAATTGTACAGATACTTGAAACATTTTGTCTGTTTAACGTTGTCAGACGATTTGGTTTTTTATCTTTCTCAATTAAACTTGAAATTTCGTTAGCTAATTTTGTTATCTTTTCTTTATATTCAATTTCTTGTTTACTTTCCGTTAAATGGCCGTCTGGAAATATAAACGATGAACATTCACATGACTGACCCGCTAGACTATCTAACCATCCTTTTGAACAGTAATTTTCTTCCGTATTATTTGGACACAGTATAATACGACGTTTTTCCTTATGTAAAACATACATAGCTGTTTGTCTACAAGATTTTGATTCATAATAATGCTTTGAAATGACGAATAAGACTAATACGGCTTTTTCAATAGCTGCGGCTGTTTGTTCCCATGGTTTAGCTGTTAATTCAGATAGATCATTGGAATCTGTATGAAAAAGCGGATAAATTATATACTTATCATCATATTTTTGTTTCAATTCGTCTTTTGTTCGTTCAACAAAAGATCGGTCGTTAAACGAATGACTAATCAGAACTAACGGTTTACTCATATCACTTAGTTGATGGTCTTCTATTGTAGTTTCCGTTGTTATTGGTAATTTTAAATTACATAGAATACATTTTGCTGCTTGTGTATTACAATGAGCCAAACCTTGAATAACAATAATCAGTTTAACATTTTTTAATAAACATTCTCTGAATGAATCATCATAAAATGATAAACTCCATATAATATTAATTAATGAAACACATGCTAATTTGCCAAGTTTATCACCATCGATATATGCACCACGACATGCTATTAATGTATCACAAAAAAGTTCAATATGATCGATTTCAAACAACTTTATAGTCATTAAATAATCGATAACGCTATCATGAATAAATACACGTTCCAGTACAACTACTAATTCCGATAGATGGAAGCTCATACCGGACATAACATTATTTTGTATTACTTCTTTACACAGATAGATTGTAAATGAATACAAATATGAAATAACTTTTTTCATTGATGTTCCAGTTGCCGGCGCTTCTTCAGTAGCTGTTACATCTAAATCGGTTGTTAATGCTTCTTCAATTTGATAATGTTCCGATAAAAGAATAACAGCCATATAATAGATTAAATCCATTCCACTATCACCACTACCCAAAATTGAATCTTTTATATGTCTTAATATGTCAACGGCATGATTTTCTTTCAAAATATTCTCACCGACAGAATCACGTGCAATATTAATAAGTGCTAGTCGATGTTCATATTTTAATTCGGATATTAATATCCAATTTAAAACAGCTTTTGGATAACCGGTATTTATAAATACACGAACGACTGATGGTTTATCTGCTAAATTCCATAAAATACTTAAATATTCACATATAATTAAATTGCGTGGATCAGAATAAAAGAATACATCGGGAATTGAAAATGTTTGTTGAGTATTTTCAAAATAATAATCAACATAAATACGAAATGTTTCAAATAATTTTTTAAAATTATCAAGATCATTATCACGAAATTTTGCTGATGATGTGATTGTTTTAGCAATAAGGAATATGACATAGAGAACAATATCGTATAATTCAGATCGATAAGAAATATCTGCATTTAATGTTTCGATGTATGATGGATCATTTGATTTTTCTATATATGTACGTAGATAAGATGAATCGTTAATCAACTGGAATAATTGATAAAATATTTCACGAGCAAATTTTGAATCTTGACTAAATGTTTCAGAAACTGATTCGAGCATGGCAAGTTTTGGTAAAATTCGTACAAATTCAGCAAATGAATCACGATATAGAATATTTTCATCAAGATCGTTATGTCCAACGATTTCTACAACAGTTTTTATAATATAAATTAATGATGTTACATTATGTTCTTTTTCATTGTCTGTTGTATTAATATACGTAAAATCTAATAATATTGACCAATTTTTTCTTAATTGGACGCATGCCAAATGAATTGATTCTTTAGGAATCTGATGTTGAATAACATCAGGATTCAAAGCTGATTTTAATGACTTAAATATTTCTGGTGCATTGAAGTCTTTTGATAATGATTGTTGTTGTTTGTCTGTTGTTCTGAAGCTCATCGTTTGTCATTGACTGTTGTCGTGTTGTTCGAGATGTAAGGAAAAATATCTAGTGGAAAAAGTTGAAATGGCCAATCTGTCGACAATTGTAGAAAATGATGTTTAATGACGTCAAATGTATTTTCTCACGTTTTTGACAAGTCTTGACAAGGTAGGTTACATCAAGGACAGTCGCTATGATAGGATGAAAAGGGGGGTGGTAAAGTGGTCATTAAAGTACAAAAATGTCTTTCCCTGCACGTATCTATGTCTGATAAAAGAAGGGAGCCCGCTTTTCATTGACTTTGGACCACTGGTTTTTCTACTTAATTCTGATCTGATTTTGTAGAGAAATCGATTTTACATATTTTTAAGTGCATATGTACCATTATAGCCTTATGGAAACTTTTTAAATTAACTTTTCTGAGGAGGTGCATAAAGCGTATCGATGCTTAACAAAAACGATTCTGTCCAAAATCTAATATGAAATTACGATAAAGCTTGATATAGAAAAATAGCCAATGGAAAACTGAACAAACTAGTACATGGACCACCATAGTCACACATTGTATATTTAAGGAGAAATCGTTTATTTTCGAACATCCCCATCTAGTGATCATCCTTCAGTGATTATTTTTCCCGTTTTAGCCCGTAAATAAGAGAGGATGCAACTAGCCTTTAGTATAGAAAAATAGCTCTTGAAAACCTATTTTCTCAAAACTAACATCAGATGTGCAATCACAGCTAAAAACTGCATTGAACACTCTCTGTCGCGGAATTTTTAGACAACTTCAGCAAAAATCTCTGTCGAAAAAATGCGAAAAAAATCAAAGTTGGTGATATGATATATAGGGTTTGTTTGTTGTGAATATTGTAGAGCTTTTCAAGAGCTATTTTCTATACCAAGCTTTATCGTAATTTCATATTAGATTTTGGACAGAATCGTTTTTGTTAAGCATCGATACGCTTTATGC